TTCTTATGTTCTTATGTTCTTATGTACACGTCAAAAAGAAAATTATGAACAGTGAACATTAGCATAATAGGACTCCTTTAAGCACAGCTCTAAAGCAAACAAGTTTGCTCATTTGCACAGTAAAAATTAATATTAAATTCATTTTAAAAATAAAATGAATATACAAAATATAAAATATAAAAATGAAAATTAAATCAAAAATAGAACTACATCATAACACTAATAATGAACTGAGTCCTGTGTTCTTTACTATGCAGTACAGACTGTCCCCAGCCTATGACTGGGTTCTATTTAGAGATGCACCGATTGCAATTTTCTTGGCCAATTCCAGTTTTTGATTATTAATTTTCTTTTCAACTTCACAATTTCCCCCACACTGCACTAAGTTGCAGGATCTTCTCTCATTTAATTAAACAAGTCACAAAATAAAGTGCTCTGTGACTGTAAAGAGGTACAAATAACAATTAACTGAAAATGAGTTGCTGTACACCCAATTTAATTTGACATATTTTACTTTGCACTGCAGGTGCAACAGATATAAGCCTAAATAATAAATCAGTTACTTATATCATTTCCCACTATGTTTAAATTCCCCAGATTCCACGACATTGACCTTTTTAAAATGTTTTACACGTCTTAAAAAAAGCCCATAGGTTACATAATGTATGGACATTATAGCGCAGGGGGTTAAAGTTTCACTAAAACATTTTTATTCTGTCAGAGGAAAAAAAGCCTTAGCTAGCTTTGCAATGTTAATGCTTATTCCTTTTCAAGATTATCTAGTATATGTTTAATAATTAGTTTAATCAGTTTAAAGTTTATCTCCAATGTTTCATCATGTTTTTGTGGTGGTTCCACTACGGTTTACTTTGGCTTTGCATGTATTACTAATTGCAAGCTTTGTGTTTTCTTCACTCACAGTGAAGAACTTCCACGTTAACAATATTAGCCAATTCTGGTCCCTGAACTCTGTCCATTCTCCCTGGTCGATCAGTGCATCTCTAGTTTTGTTCTGACAGACAGGTCATACGGTTGAAATATCAGAGACTTAGCCACGTAGTACAGTAATAGGTTTGAGCCCCCCCCCCCCCCAAATTATTTATTACTAAAGAAGCACCTAGCCACCAGTTAATAAAACCCCTCAAAATTAGACCCCCTCCCCCTTATGGGCAAAATCTGCCAAGCTATCGTGACACCCCCCAAAATTTATTTCTGGCTACGGACCTGCTGAGTATGCTTGTATATCTAGCTCGGACTTGGATTAGACCTCTCATGACTTGTCACTTTATGTGGACTTGGGATAGGATGACTTGACTACAGTCATGGTATATGCCACTAACTTAATATCTGTCTCTTAGCAAACATGCTGTTGAAACAATGTCTTTAATGTTTATGAATAACTGTGTTCTGTTGAATTTGATATAGCTTATTTCAAATGTATTTCTTTATTAAGCAATGTGGTCTAATCTAAGTGAATGAGTGTCAACTGTATAATTTTCCCCTCTATGCAGTCCATGGTGTGGCGGATCTTTATGCGTGTAAGGGCAGGGGACTGATACTAAAAATAATTTATCTATTTAGTATATAATGTAAGGAATCCACTTGCAGAGTCTCCGCAGTTTCAGCAAAACAGTGGTTTATTGAACAGTAAAAAATAATATAATGTGATGGTGTAGACATACATCGGGTACTGAAAGGTAGCTCAAATACAAATTAAGGACAGTTCTTCACCCCCCTTAATACCCCAAAAGACCCTCCCCAACAAGGTGCTGTGTGTAGGTGTAGAGAGTGAATTTACATATAAAGAGTGACCCCCTGGCCTGTGAGGAGCCTGGGGCAGGGATGGGGCAGGACAGGATGGAAACTTTCTGATCATTGTAATTCAGTCATCTTCCTTATCACCCTAGTGGTGCCGACTGGAACCCCCATTCTCTCATGATCATAAATTGCTAACACTGTCGTTATCCAAATGATCAACCAAGAACCTTGGGGCATCTTTACTACTTTTCCTTACAATACTGAATTCTAATGCAGTTTAAAGGGTTGTAATCTCCTTTAATTTTTTCAGCATTTCAGCAATATATCAATAATTCACAGTAACATAACTTATTTTTGCATTGTCTTTTAGGGGTGCTGTTTGCCTTGAAAGTGATTAATAACTATTACAATCCAGGTGGTGTCACCAACTTGATGGGCATACCTGTATCCAATCAGATAGCTTGTTGGGTTGAACTTTTTCTCATCCATCTTCTTTCACCAGGGTGAGTTGGAATGTGTTTGGTGGGGGGGGGGGGAATCCAGTTTTAGGAAGCCTTTTATTTCCACTGGCCTAACTCAACTCAGCATTAAGCTTCTGTCATGATGGCATGTGTGTGATGTTTACATGTGCTTCCCATGTAGGTGAAGGCTTCCTCCCACAGTTTGACAGCTCAGATATGTGAATTAGTGTCTCTAAATTGTACGGTGGCTCTGAAGGTCAAAACACAACAACATTTCAAAAAACACATTACAGAAAACACAAGATTTCAAAAAACACAATGGCAACGGAACAGGCAGCAAAATGAAAATTACGTTAATGATAGGACTCGTGAAACATACTTAAACGCAGACTTAAATACACATGACTAATGACAGCAATGACAGCAACTCGAAACAGCTGATCACACGGGGATTCACGAGAAATATACACTCACCTAAAGGATTATTAGGAACACCTGTTCAATTTCTCATTAATGCAATTATCTAATCAACCAATCACATGGCAGTTGCTTCAATGCATTTAGGGGTGTGGTCCTGTTCAAGACAATCTCCTGAACTCCAAACTGAATGTCAGAATGTAATGAAAGAAAGGTGATTTAAGCAATTTGAGCGTGGAATGGTTGTTGGGGCCAGACGGGCCGGTCTGAGTATTTCACAATCTGCTGAGTTACTGG